TTTCCTTAAGGGTCCAAAGGACCCAGTAATTTAGGGTTTAAGGTTTAGGGCTCTTTCAGCCTGGAACGAGTCAGCTGTCCAGGCGTGACGTTGCAGGCCAGTTGCAAGAAGGGAAAGAGCCCAGTAGTGGGGTGTTTGAGCACATGCCGATTAGGCACTTGAGCCCTTTGGATTCTAATTACTCAAGGTTGCTCTGTCTCTCGCCGGTGCTCTACCATGTTCTGTTTGTTTGCGCGTTTTGGTCGGCAGATGTGGAGTTTTCCTTTTGGGGGTTTCGGGCTCGTGGTTGAAGCTTGTTATAGTTGTAGGGGTTTACGGTCGAGAGCTGGGTGCAAAGCTGAAATTAGTGTGCACCCCGATCCTTGGAAGCATTTGCACCCTGAACCCTAACTTTGTGTTCCAGGTGTGCTACGGTGGGTCGCTCTTGACGGAGACTTTCTCCATCCACGTTGTGAGCCACGATGGCAACGTTGGCATCGTCGACATGAAGGCCGATAGAAGTGCAAGGAGGGGCGAGGTATGGCCAGGTAAGGTGGGCCCAGATGTATAAGTGATATCTGATGGCTCCCGATGGTGTATTTGAAGCAGGGTTCCACTGTACTGACTTTCTAGTTTGGAAGTGTAAATTGTGTAACTATTACTGACCAACGAACAACCTTTTTCTGCAAGCATAATGGCGGCGACAGATATACATGCGCACTTGTAAGTAAGTAGACCTTTCAGTGAGACCCAAGATCCTCAAGACCGCAACCTACGATGAACTCAACATCTTCAAAAGTGCACGACTCGAGCCTTCCATCTTGGAGACTCCAGCCCTGCAGCCTTAAACCCTGTATCTTAGGTAGTATTAGGGCGACCCCCTTAAAAGGGGACCCTTCGTAACCCTACCTCTGGCTCTCTGCAAAGGAACCCTATTGAGAGGCAGGGTCCATATCCCTTAAATAAGGTCCCCCTGATCCTAACTCCTACTATACCCAAGTGTGGTCTCCTCTGCTTGAACTAATGCCTGAGCCCCTTTTGGACCCCGACAAAACCAGGGTAATCGGACTGGGGCTTGTGGTTTGCAGTAGCGGTCATGATGTTTTTCGGTACATAGGGTGCCATGATGGGGGATTGTTAGAAGACACTTCTTCTCATCCTTTCTATCAGCCTCCGAAGGCCGTACCCACTTGAAGACGGAAAAGAGCCCCCTAAAAAAGCCCAAACCCTGAGACCCCAAAACACCATTCAATTTAGGGTTCCACATGCCACCTGATGATTCCCTTACCTATAGTTCTGTGTTCCTCAACAGGTAGCCTTACTATGATCTTCCTCAAGCAGGTTTTCCGGGGAACCCTGGGACCGCAGGCGGTGGGGCCACAAGCTGGCGAGTGCGAAGGCGCCAACTTCGAGAACAGCGACAACGCACCAAAGCTGACATAGCTGGGTTTCCGTTCGGGTGCTGTCGGTGGCTGCAAGGCTTTGGGGAATGCCTCGGAGGCCTATGGGGCACTGCAATGACAAATGTGGGTCAGGATATCCTGAGCCGAATCTAAGAGCTTTCAGAGCAGTTTCAAGGAAGCTTCAATTAAACAAGTGTGAGGGCCCAAGGTACCTTGCCCAATTTGTTGAGGGATTTTTTGTGATCAGGTTGCGTTGGTTCGGCACTATAATAAGGCTTTGTGTATGGTCGAGGTGGCTGCTTAGGGCCCGGCAAGGGTTGCTCAAGTCGAGCTTAGTTTTCGGGCAGGGTAGCCAAATCCAGTCTCTGTAACTATTGCACTTGGATGCACTTCAACCTCTTGCGATTTCCAGATGTTGTAGTCAGTTTCGGTGCCAGAACGGAGTCATATACAGTGTCCAAGGTCATCACCATCGAAAACGACAACGGCTGCTTCCCGCCAGCATCTGCTTTTGCAGCATCTGACTGGAAGTTGGTAGAGCGACTGCGTGGGTCTTTGATGGCGTTCTGGCCGCCCACGATACGGTATCTCTATGCTGCGTAAAAGCGAAAGGCACAACGCGCCTTCCAAGGATACTGTTAGTTACAAGGAAGGTGTAAGTACCTTCCTCCGGTCCAGGCAATGTGGGAGGTTTGCCAAAAAAAATCACCACCCCAAGCCCTAACCCAAAACCGTAATGTCATAGAATCGCAACTTATGCTCCAAGACAGTTTCTTTTAGGTTTAGGGCTCAAACCGACTCACACCCTATTCTTCAGAGCTTTCAATGCTTCAACACTGACCCAGGTGGCTTGGCCAAGTACGACTACTCCGTTGAATACTGTCCGGACCAGGCCCCTCGAGCAGACTCTTATCATCTCTGACTGGTGGGTTTCCTAGGTAGTATTAGGGAGACCGCTTAAGGGGGGACCCTTAACCCTACTTCTGGCTCTCTTAAAAGGGAGGGTCTATATCCCCAAGGGTCCCCCTAATCCCAACTCCTGTGGGTTCAATCGACCCTAAAGGTCCATGTACCTAGATAGCATGTACTTATATAGGCTTTACTAGAGTGGTACCAGAAGGTGAAAGCATCTACTGCATGAGCGCATGGGCTCTTAGAGGCAGGGTACATTCCCCATCCAGAAAGGCAGTTTATAGTTTGGTCGGCATGTTCAAGATTCTACTATTCAGCGTTTCAAACCCTCAGCTAATCCGATCTGCTCCGGGATCTGGCTTTCTATGGCTTGGGCCAGTGCTTCGTGTTCGCGGTTCGTGGCTTAGGTGCCGGCGTTTGGGGGTGAAGTGCTCTCAAGTTGAAATTTTGTCTTATGTTGACGGAGAAGGCACCGCAGCCAGGGCAATTCGCAGAAACTGCCGGGGGTTTAGGGTTTAGGAACGCAGCTTTTTGGGGACTTCCAACCCCCCTCCTTGCACCAGCGGAGAGAGGGGGAAAGAGAGACACAGATGTTGCCAAGCTACTTTGGACCATTACCGGCCCTGTGCCCGGGCCACCGAGCAATATTCCATGGTCGATCGAGCCTTCTTCTTGTGTCTGAGAGTTTGTGCAATGCGTACATGAGTACATGCTCTTGTTGTATAGTTGCAAAGCGAACTCCATTATGAAAAGGGCTGAGCACAGGGACCTGATGTCTGTTCCCGATACTGAAGTTCAAGGGAAATCTTCGAATGCAAGTGTTCCAGTTACAAGCCTCAGCTCAACAAGACCGCCGGGCCACAACGCTTGACTTCATTATCGCCAGTCCCACTGGTGTAGTATCGCTGTCCATCATCATGATGACTGCAGGGTTTTTTGATTACTCTAAACACATGCATAAAGATCGATAGATAGCCAGACAGACAGACATGAATAGCTGGCTAGCTCGCTCGCTAGCCGCTAGCTGCTAGCTTGCCAGCTACCTAGTGAAAGGCACAATTTTCAATGACACCGTAAACCTTCTATAGAAACCCATAAGCATGTACAAAACTAGATTCAACCGGACCCTTTGTTTACAAAAAAGACACAGCCTCTGAAGACCTTATATCCCTAAACCGCCCTAGAGGACAATCTTATCATCACCATGGCCAAGCCCTACAACGTGGCGGTGGTCCTGACGAGCCAAGCCTGCCCAGCATCTGGTGAGGCGCTCCCTGGCCTTCAGGGATCCTAGTCCCTAGAAAAGGCACTTTGGGGCCAAAGCATATGGTTTGGTTGATCATGTAAATCCTGCATTACCCATTATAAGGTATATACCATAATTCCCATAGTTTAGAGTCCTTAAGGTGATGGATTTATATCATCAGCAGTATGTTGGGTACATAGACTAGTAGAGTGGGTAACCTTTTAACTTTTTCGGGGCACTATCATACCAAAGTAACCGGTAGTATCTGGCAAGAGGGGCTTGCTGACGGTTGATTCGAAGTCCGGGGTTCAGAGTCCTGTTTTAGTAGTTGAAAGTCTTCATAGTCACACAGTTTAGGGCTTAGGGTCATAGTCCCAAATCCTGCACGTTCGCCTACCCCCCCAAGCCTAAGCCACAGCTCAACTCGCCAAGCTTTCAGTGCAGCTGTAATGGGCATGCCGTCAGCACGCCATGTCCTGGCACATTCGTCGAATTGTTGAACCCTGAGCCCGAAACCTATCCACAATAGAGATGCAAAGAAATCATAGTACACTCAGTTCACTAACGGATCAGCCCAAGCAGGCTTGCACCCTCATCCATCTCGGAACCACAGCAGCGAGCCCTTTGCAAACCCTGACAAATTGAGCTTTAAATGCTCCTGCAAATCGCAACTGCGAATATCCTGAAGCCTACAATCTCATGTTGTTTATGAGGCTGCGGTGCATCTCTGATCGCCCGCAGCCTCAGTTCAAAATCACCAAAAAGCCTCTCCTTGTCGCAGGTGTAAGATGATGCGATGACCCGAAACCCGGGAAGGGCGCGGTGCGAAGCCTGTGGTGAGGTCTGTGAAATTGTTTGGGGCTTAGGGGCTTGCCGTTTTTCAGGTTCTGCGTTCAAGTCCTGTCATTGAACGACTACACCTGCAGATAGTAGGTATACGTGGCAAACCTTAGGTTCTGGTTCTATTTCGCACAGCACTCCTTTGAGTGATTTGTGCCGACTGTCATCCCAAGCCTCTAGGGACAAGGCGATCTCCCCCTAAACCCAAAGCCAGAAAACCTAACTGCATCCGAATTTTCTTGGAGCAGAGCAACGCTAATCTTTTGCGATGACTGCCTGGAGCTGAAGCTTTTGTCGGGCTCTATAGGCCTGACATTTCGGAAATGCGGGTGAAAGTTGTGAATTCGAGAGGAACGTTTGCTTCTTTTGCTCCGCAACCATAGGTTCCGCCTTCTGCTGGCCGCGTGTATACCAATTCGCATGCACGAGCCGCTGGGTGGTCATGTGCGACATGGGGAGAAGGCAATTCCATGCCTCCAGAAGCATAATCCGAGTACACGTGCTCCCCGGGCGTAAAGACGATACTTTGGCTCTATAAGCCTCAATCCTAGCCCCTAAACCCTAAACCCTATAAACCTTAGTCCGAGTTGTGAGAGCGTAAACCCTAAAGCCCTAAACCCTAAAGCCCTAAACCCTAAAGCCCTAAACCCTAAAGCCCTAAACCCTCAACCCTAAAGCCCTAATTATAAACCTACACCCCAGGCCCGAAACACAGGAACCCTGAAAC